GTTTGACGATCACAGTCGATGCTTCTGGATGTAATAAAGAGTCAGCCTAGATGATTCTTAGGGTTCTAGACATAGCAGAATCCATATTTAAACTGAACTTTAAAGAAGATTCTAGTAGAATTGAGCCAGTAATTCTAGATATACTACTAAGTGCAATTCATAGAACAACTTATCTGCCAGCCATGACTTTGAATATAGGGGTATCAACATCAGTCATTTGGCAAATAATTTGGGCCTTGGAATTGAATTTCCAAGCCTTTTCTTCTGGCTCTTCTTTTTTATTTTTTTTTTAACTATTTAATTTTATTTATTGCCATTTTTCAATTTGCTATAGGACATGTGCACTCACTGGAGAGGGTGAGAAAGTAAGCCTCCAGGTCCAGGACTAGAACTGCAGTCGACTATGTGCGAGTCTAGCACCTTGACCACCACGCCAGCTGCTGGTCCCTCTCCTGGCTCTTCTGAAGGCAAAAAAGTGAGGGACTAGTTTGTTTTTATTTAGTCTTCAGATTTCTGAGAACAGTGAAACAATCCCAGTTTTTCCTCTAGGGCTCAAAGTTTAGGTAATTTAAAGAGAGTTTTTATTGGTTATACTTAAAACCCATTTTGGTCCATTCATAAGCTGTCAGGAGACCCATCGTCAATTGTCAACTCCAGTTTGCTGAGCTGGGTCAGTCCCAGTGGGAGCTATAAAAGCAGCTTAACTCTCTGGGCTTTGGTTCCTTTGCGAGTATGTGTTAGTGTCCTTAGTCTCAAACTGCTGGCAGCCTTTCTAAGACATCTGCAAACAATACATCTTGAGAATGTATTACAGATATTTTTCCTGACTCTGCTTTTGGCTAGAAACCATATGACCAGTCCTCTTTAGAGACCAACTTTTTAAAAAAAAATTATTTTATTTAACTTTATCCATTTATTTATTTATTTTATTTTGACTAGAGAGGGATAGAATGAGAGAGAGAAAGAGAGAAAGCAAGCCTCCAGGTCTGGTACTTAAACTGTAGTCTGCCATCTGGGAGTCCAGTGCCCTTAGCCAACGCGCCACCTGCCAGCCCCAGGAGACCAACTTTTATTTCTGTCCCTGCTTGTCTTTATTACTTCCTACATGTTAGAGTTCCTTCACAGATGACCTGTTGTGTGGATCTGCGGCACTCTCAAGTGGAGTTGACCCAACCATTCTCACATTGTAATTTGTCACCTACCACAGTCTTTAGAGGTGTACAGTTGCACAACTGTCTTAAAAGATGAGTGTTTCTATAAGTATCTCTATCAAAACAGTAAGAGAAATCCTGGAGGTGAGCATTAAACAGTGAAGACAGATGGGATACAGTAGATGCAGCAAACTGACCTGGTGGCACCGCACGCCGTCACTTCCCTACCTCACTGGGAAAGGCTGCTTGGCACAGAGCAGGCCGCAATGGCCGTACACTTACGAGGAGTACATTTGAAGTCTTACTATGCCACTTTCTTCTGTGTTTTTTTTTTTTTTTTTTTTTTTTTTTTTTTTTTTTTTACAGAATTATTTTTATTTAACTCTATTTATTTATTTTCATTTGACCAGACAGGAACATGGGAGGGGGGTAGTGAGAAAGCACGCTGCCAGGTTTAGGATTCGAACTGTGGTCCACCATGTGGGAGTTCAGCATCCTTAACCACCATGCCATCTGCCAGCCCCTTCTGTATTATTTTAAAGTCCAGCTGGAGCCTAGCTAATACAAAAGAGGATCTGATCTGAAAGAGGTGCGCAAAATGGATTGTGTGTCATGGTCGAGGGACCAGTGTAAAGTCATCTGAGTCATCGGCAGTCCAATTCCGTTTCAGCGACTGAGAGAGAAGAGGAGTGATAGACTTGTTTATTGTAAATGGCCTAAAACTCTGTGAATCATCCTTGTGTCTGAAAGTTCTACAGTAGAAAGTATAGAAAGCTTTGGGCCAGCGCTGTAGCCTAATGGTTAAGGGGGTTGGGTCCCATATGACTGACCACAGTTTGAATCCCAGTCCAGTACCTTGGAAACATGCCAGGTATGTGCCCCAAATTATTCCTACAGGTTGGAGAAATGAAGCAAAGAGGATTGGGCGTGACCATGCCCTGTGGGGAAAGCAGTGCACTCTCTCTCTCTCTTGTGAGCACACGTGTCCTCTGGTAATTTTTTTTTAAAAAGTATGGAAAACTTCCATAGTTCTTTCCCCACCACCATCCCCCCACTGGCTTTTTTTTTTTTTTTTTTTGGAGAGGTTTCTTTTTTTTTTTTCCTCTATAGGGCGTGTGCTCGCCAGAAAGACAGAGAGAGACAGAAAGCGAGAAATCACCCCCTGGGGGGATGGCCATGCTGCAATCCCTTCTCCTCCATTCTCCTCTTGGGATCTTGGGCACACACACACACGCGCCCAGTGTGAGTTTAAGCCACCGGGTCCGGGACTCGAACCGCGGTCGACTACGTGGGAGTCCAGCGACATAGCTATTATACTAACTGCTGGTCCCAGTTCTTTAACAGTTTTATTCTTCAAAATGTGTTAAGGCAGTGGCTATTATGAGGTCAGGTCAAGAAATGATTAGACATAGCTATTGCACAAGGTAATATAATGTTTAACTGATACATGTGAGGCTCTGTCAGAATGTTTGTATCATTTTAAATCTCAGGGGAAAAGAAAATTTAGTTAGAGCTTTCACTGTAGGATTGGGCCAACTCTTTGTTTCCAGGGGAACAGGCTCTCACTGTGTCACGTACTCCTGCCTCAGCCTCCCAAGTAGCTGGGATCACAGGCACACACCACTGTACCCAGCCTTGTAGGGTGGGCTGGGAAGTGAGCCTGGGCCTCTCACGTGGCCTCAGCCTGCCAAGCAGTGGCATCCAGGGTGCACTGTTGCATCTGTTCATTTCTTTTTTGTTGTTCATCTTAAAATACTTGTCATATATCCAGGATTACTGGCCAAGACAGACCAGGTCAGGACAGGTGGAGACACCCAGGATAGTCTAGAGAGCGTACTGACCCTGAGAGCTGGCAGTTCAAGGGGGTGGTGTCAATGTACTGTCCTCCCTTCCTGTTCAGATTCTGGAGGCCCCATGTAGGCAGCTGAGGTAGAGGCAATGTGTCAGCCAGTGCTGAGATCCAGCCTGGTCTACCCTCCAGCTTCGGGGGTAGGACTTTATGCCTGTACCCCAGACTGGAGGAATATGGATGCTGAGTGGTTTGTCCCAACAGATTATCACAGTGATCTGAGTCCAGGCAGTAGTTCATGCAAATGAAGGAAAGTCCCTGAGGCTCACTTGATAGTAAGTTCTTTATGCAAGAAGACTAGAACTCCTTAAATTGCCCAAAATCAGCTGCCCCAGCTCTTAGGACAGGCCGTGCACCCAAGAGACCAGCCAGTCCCAGGGAGAGCAGGGGACAGGTTCTTTGAAGGAATGTCAGGGCCAAAGGCAGTGGCTTGAAATATCTTCAAAGCCAGGACCAGTAGTTGGTGTAATAGCTATGTCACTGGACTCCCATGTAGTCGACCGTGGTTCGAGTCCTGGACCTGGTGGGCTTAAACTCAGGTCTTGCACATGTGCATGTGTGTCCAAGATCCTGAGAGGAGAATAGAGGAGAAGGGATTGCAATGTGGCCTGACCTGACTGACCCCCATGGCGGGTGATTTCTCACTTTCTGTCTCTCTGTCTCTCTCTGTCTTTCTGGCAAGCGCACACACCCTAGAGCAAAAACCTCTCCAAATAAATAAATAAATAGAAATCTCTTCAAAGCCAACATGCAAGGCTAGGTCTTCCATGCTCTGCTTCCGAGATTTCCCTGCTCTGAGCATCTTTGCCTTCTTCCATCAAGCATAGGAAAGGGTTATTCTTTTCCTCCTGGTTACTGAATAATGGCATGGTTACCACCTCACTTGTAAGTACAGATGACCTGGGAAGCTTCCTCCAGTTCTGCTCTTCATATTAACTTGTGAGGTCTTGTGTTCGTTTCCCATGGGCTGGGCTGGGCTGATGCATACCTTGTAGGTACCATCATTGTCCGATGGCAGTGAGAGCTACTGCCACCACAGAGATTTCCTCTCCAACCACTTGAGCATGTAGAAACGTGCACTCCACCATCATTGGTCACTTATTGCACACTAAAAATGTAACTCACATTAGTGTATTTTTATTCCTTAGAGCGTGAGGGAGGGAGTGCTGAGCTGGGCACTGAGAGACCTGGGTACTAACCTAATTTCCGTTAGTGCCCACTTTTTCTCCACTGCTCACATTGGCTGTAGTACCACCTGTGTCGGCCTCCTGTCTGGGGCACACAAGGTCACATAGGTGAGACAGCCCAGTGCCCTTGGGGAGAAGGCAGACGGAGTGCTGAGTGAATTTCTCACCTTCAAGCAGACTTAGAGGCAAAGTGCAGGCCAGCCTTACTCTTGGTTGAAGACAGACTTGAAAGAATGTTGGTGCCTTTTTTTTTTGGGGGGTGGGGGGGCTCAGTGCATCCTCTTCAGTCACATTTTTCTCTAATCTTCCCATATGGGATGGATTCAGAGGTCATTTCTAGGAGGTTGGGGATACTGCAGGCACATTTTTCCAGATCTCTTTTACACTCCAGGACAAATCTGTTTTACATGCCTGGAAAACAGGATTCTTGAAATGACCCAGTAAATCTTTCCAATAGGAGGGCTGGGGCGCTACTTTCATGCATTTATCAGTGGGCACACAAGCCAGCCCAGGTTAACCAAGGCAGTCACATCTGTGCTTCACAAGGAAAAAGACACTTCTGCGTGACATCGGTTCGGTTCTCAAAAGGTGTACTATTGAGAACGTGACTTGTAAAAAACTAAATTACACTGGAAAACAACCAGATGTTATTTTGTCTTGACAACATTTAAATTTCAGTTTTATGTCAAGAAGCAAATACATACCTAAGTAAAGCTTAACCTAAAACTAAGTTTGAAGGTTGGGTCTTTGAGACCAAGGGGCAAGGGCTGCAGTTTGTGTCCATCTCTCTGTGCTTTCTTTGGGACTCTGTAGGCAACAGCATTCTCCAGGCAAGCCCTTCCAGAAGAGTGTGCTGATGGCTCGGCCCTCTACAGTGACGAATCGTCTTGTAGCTTGCCATCCTTTCTGAACGACAGTGGCAGAAAGAAGGGAGCAGAGCCCGCTCTGTGGCTCAGTGGTGCGCATGCAGGCGAGCGAGGTAAGTGTGGGGGGCCTGTCCCCAGCACAGCACAGTGAGGGCATGCCCCCCTCTTTCTCAGGGCGTGCCTGTGCAATACTGCTGAGTGTGGCGTCCTGTGATCTTGATGTTGTAAAGTGTTACTTGTTTCATACCATCACCCAGTAAATATATGTACTGTTTGGCCTAAAGGAAATGGAAACCTAACTGTAAGTCTGTACGCCCGAATTTCTTTTTTTTTTGAGAGGTTTTTCACTATAGGGCACGTGCGCTCGCCAGAGAGAGACATAGAGACAGAAAGCGAGAAATCACCCCCCCAGGGGGGATGGTCACGCCGCAATCCCTTCTCCATTCTCCTCTCGGGATCTTGGGCACGCATGCACACGCACCCGGCGTGAGTTTTAAGCCACTGGGTCTGGGACACGAACCGCGGTCGACTACATGGGAGTCCAGCGACATAGCCATTACGCTAACTGCTGGTTCCCATGTACGCCCGAATTTCTAATAAAATACGTATATTTCTACATCGTAAAGTCTCGAAAAAGCTAATCACTTAGCAATAGATACTTTGTTCCCATAGGGATGAAGATGATTCCAATAAAATGAGTACATAAAATACTACAACTTATTTTATGTCACTTAATAGAATTGACTTATAATTTTAGTTGTGCTTTTTGGAATCTCATCAAAGTCTAAATAGACAATGAAAGGGCCAGCAGGTGGCGAGGTGGTTAGGGCTGCCAGACTCTCACATGGGTGACTGTGGTTCGAGTCCTGGACCTGGCAGCTTTCTCTCTCTCTCTCCTTCTTCCTCTCCCTCTCCCTTTCCCTCTCCCTTTCTCTCTCTCCCTTTCTCACTCTCTCTCTCTGCTTCTCTCTGGTGAGTGCCCTTGCCCTATAGGAAATTTTTAGAATACATAAATACATAAATAAATAAATAGGTGATGAATCAATGAATTTATGAATTAAAAATTTAATGACCAATTTCAAATCTTTTTAATACCCAGAGATTGTGGGCACATGCACTAGGGGTTGAGGGGAAGCACCCCCTAGAGGGAATTGGTCACCTTGCGATGCCTTTGCCTCCATTTCTCTTCCCTTTCAGGATTTTGAGCACATTTGCACACAAGCCTGGCATGTTTTTCAAGCCACCAGATATGGGATTTGAACTGTGCCATCAGCAATATGGGATCTAGCTGCCTCAGTCACCATGCAGTCAGCTGGCCAGCCAGTAAACTGCTTTAATGGTATCTCCAAGACAGCTCTGAGTTGCTCAGGAACTATTCAGAAGCCAATATACAAGAACAAGGGGCCGGCAGGTGGTGTGGTGGTTAAGGGTACTGGGCTCCCACGTGGTCAGCTGTGGTTCAAGGCCTGGACCTGGCGACTTGCTTTCTCTCTCTCTCTCTCTTTCTCTCTGTCTCTGTCTCTCTCCCTCTCTAGTCAAAATAAAATAAATAAATAAGTTAAATAATTCTGAAAAATAATTTATAAAATACACATGCACAGGATTTGTCCTTGTTTTAAGTCTCATCTGAGCTTGACATATTTTAGGCAAAATTATTTTACACAAAAGTAACATAGAGATAACCTTGGTTTTAAAATAAGTTTTCTTTTAGGAACAATTTCAGAGAAGAAATGGACAACCCCCCCAAAAAAACCAAAACAAAACAAAATTAGAGAAGCAATCAAAATAAAATAGCAGTTAAAAACTCACACAAAGTTCCGTTCCAAGCTCTGAGATGCATTTTATTATTATGTGTTCATTTTTAGAAGTTTCAAGTGACTGCAGACAGGAGAGCAATGAAGAAAGTGTGGGCTTGGAGATCCCAGTCACAGGTAAAGCTATGGGGCCCAGGGCCATACAAACACAAGGTGCAGCCTGTCACGTGGGCAGGACACGCTGGCTTAGTGGTCTGTGGGCACCGCCAAGCGCAAACGTATTTACTGCACGCCGGAGCCGGAGCAAGAGGTGAGTCATGGGCGTAAAACACAAGCTTCCACTCACGTAAACTGAGGTGGGAAAGAGCTGTCTGTTGGACCCATCATCGTCATGTTGCACATCTCACCTGTGAGCAGCCTCCCTTGTACAGCCTTCCAGTGTGTGTGTCCATGCGTGGGTGCGTGTGAGAAGGTCAGTCTCCCTGGGGGGGGGGGACACTCTGTCACTATATGGCAAACTACACAGTTCTGATTTTACTCTCCTTTTCTGTAGTAACAGAATGTGTATCATTAACATAAGAGCAGAACAAACATGTGCCAAACTGAAAGCTTACTTGCACCTCCATTACAAGCCTGTCTCATGGGGCCGGCAGGTGGTGTGGTGGTTACGGGCACTAGACTTTCACATACATGGCTGACCACGGTTCAAGTGTCAGACCCAGCGACTTGCTTTCTCACTTTCTCTCTCTCTCTCCTTTCTCTCTCACTCTCGCTCTGTCCCTCTCTGGTCATATTAAAAGAAAGGAAGGAAGGAAGGATGTTAAATTAGAGAATTATTAAAAAAAAAAAACCTGGCTCATAATTTAAAATCTTTACCAGTCAGGCTTATTCAAGACCTGTTAAGATTTCTACACTTGCATTAGGCTTCTTTAGATGGAATCTGACTGATATCATTCCTTTCTGTAGTTTCAGAATATCAATAGGAGCAATTAGTATTCCGAACAGAGTTCTGTTCATTGTGCATCTAAATTTACTAGTACCTTATTTTGTAAAGTAGTGTACTACTTCATTATAAATTCAAAGGTCTGACTTTAAATATTTATACAAGTAAATACCCCCTTGCACTGAGCACTGAGGCATGCGTGTGCATATGCGGTAGTGTGGTTGTTGTTGTTTATAAGCAGGAAAGAATGACTTGCTTTTATGGCAACACAATTCATTGCATGATGATTAATTTTTTAAACTCATATTTCTGTGATGAACTCTGGTTTTGAAATAGGAGTTTATGGTAGAGCAGTTACTGTGTATATTATGCATCATAATATTTCACTCCAAAATGCAAAGGTTTTCTTTTAAACATTTTCTGCATTGATATGTTTATTGTGGTCTTATTCTTCGTTTTGAGAAAACTCTGTTAGGAGAAACGAAGGCTGTCTGAAGCCACGGGTAACCCGTCTTTGGATGCTTTTCCCTTCATTACCTTTGAATGCAGAACTACCCAATGGCTTCTGAATTATTTCAGCTAAATTTATAAAGGCTTGGGGCTAGCAGATAGCATAGCAGTTACATTGCTGGACTCCCACCTTGCTGATCACAGTTCTAGTCCCAGACCCAGTGGCTTGAAACTCATACTGGCACATGTGCATGCATGCCCAAGAGCCCAGAAGGAGAATGGAGGAGAAGGGATTGCAGCATGGCAACCCCCTAGGGGTTGATTTCTCACTTTCCCTCTCTAAATCTCTCTCTCTCTCTCTCTCTCCTGCAAGCATATGTGTCCTTAGGCAAAAACTTTAAAAAAAAAAAAGTGTAAAGGCCTGTTGAGTAAAAACCAGGATGACCTTGTTGCCCATTCTTTTTAACCTGTTCAGTATTCTTTCCAGTCACCCCTTGGTTTGAGTAGATGACTCTCCCCAAGATTAACACAAATGTTGTTTTCTCATCGGCCTTCTCTAGAAGAGGACAGACAGTCATGTGCTAGGATTTCAGACCTCTCTTCTCTGCATGCACAAACCCCTGCAATGTGCCTAGAAGTCATCAGGACTGTTTGCCATTAAGATTATTAAAGAATCTGATTTCATCAACCTGCCATTGGTCCATCAATGGTTGGCAGTTTTTCTTTTAATTAATTATTTTTTTTGAGAGATTGTTACTTTTAGGGTGCTGGAGAGACAAAGTGAGAAATCACACCCTATGGGGAATGGCCATGCAGCAATCCCTTCTTCTCCATTTTCCTCTCGGGATTTTGGGCACACAGGCACACATGCCCGGCATGAGTTTTAAGTCGCCAGGTCTTGAACTCATGTAGTCAGCCATGTGGGAGTCCAGCAGCTTAACCACTGCACTACCTGTGGGCCCCTAGTTGACAGTTAAAAAAAAAAAGTTTCATGCCTGTGTTATGCCAAAGTATTAGACATGAAAAAAAAAACTACGTGGTAGGTTTGATGGAAATACTTTCCAAAGACGTTTGCTCTGTTGGAGCATTGGTTTTCTGTCCCTGCCTCCACACGCTCAGTTGTCTCTGCTCCCCAGCCCCGGCCCTCCCAGAAGTTCCCATTTGAGGGCGTCACGCCCCTTGGCTTGGCTGAATAAACACTGCTGCCGTTTCTGATGTTGCAGCTGCTTTGATCTCAAAGTTCTTGACCATCATCCTTGTATTACATTTTGTATTATTGGACATAATTCTTTGGAGATTTGACTTTTGGTAGAGCATGGCAAGTGTGAAGTATCGACCTAAAAAGGAAAGCTCAGGCACAGTCCGTAAAGCCGGAGTTTGCCGGCCAGGGCAGTACCCTGCAGAGTGCATTGGGGAGGGGCTTACATAACCGTCAGCTAGAGCTCCACCTCAGTCAGGTCAGTGCTCCAGCAAGAAGCCTAGAGCCGTGATGGACTGACTCCTGAGGAGGGGAACAGGAAGGGTCAGCGTGGGAGTCGGCCAGTCTGGCATGCTGTTGTAACTGCTAATTAAATGTAAGGGGGACATTTATCTGGGCAATAAGGATGTCTGTAACCTAAAAAGTCCAGTAGTATTGGTGACATCTTGAGCTGATTTAGGTGCCTTATCTCAGCGATCCAACAGCAAAGGGGACTGTGCCCAGAGCGCCCTTTCCAAGGCTGCTCACCTTCCACAGCCCTGACTTCAGTTTCCTTCGCAGCCTCTCAGCCCCGTTTTGGAACCAGTAGACTACTGTAGAGACTGCCTGCCCCTTTATAATGGTTATGCTGAGTTTTCTTGTCCGTATAGGTGCATGCTGATTGTATGTGTTTATGCTGTATCCCTTCTAGAATATTCCAGAGAATAGTAATGTCCAAGAGGTCTCCCCTGGGGGGTTGGTACAAGGATGAGCTTAACGTTTGAGGGTGTCCATGCGTGTGGAAGCACCAGCAGAGTAGGCATGCAGTCCACCCCACCTGTGACAGGGACAGTGGTTCTTGTGTGACGGTGGCAGTGTTACTGTTCTGTGCTGGCCTCCCGCTGCCTCCAGCATTTCCAAATCGTGACAGGCAGAAAAAGGGAGCCTCACAGAGCAAACTCAAAGAGGAAAAGAAGCAAGGAAGGGGTGGGGATGCAGCGTCCCAGGAGGAGAAGCTGACCCATGTCCCAGGAGGTAGCTGGACAGCTCCGGCCTTGCTATTCTGGCACTTGCTTGCATTGCCCGTTTGTGGTCACCTCTTGGGACCAAGATGCGCCCAAGCACAGTTCTGCTGGGACTCCTCCAGGACAGAGCTTTCCAGCAGTACTACTAAAGTAGCTTTGGCAAGAAGGTCAGCCATGGGATACGGTGGTGACACCACACTCCGTGATGCTGAGACCACTTAGGAAGGTCCCAGGTCTGTGTCCCCAGGTCTCCTGATACACAGTGAGTACACGTGTGTAGCAGTGATCCTGGCAGGCTGAGTCTGGGACAGACTGCAACATGTGGGCCCTGTCAGGGGTATATATCTTTCTATGTCGCTGTCTCTCTTTCTCTTAGAAGAAAGTTCTTAAAAACTCAAAAATAGTTTCTACAAGGTGCCAGCAGATGGTGTAGTAGTTGAAGCGCTGGACTCCCACATGGCCAACCAGTTTGAGTCCTGGACCCACTGGCTTGAAACTCACATCAGGCATATGTTGTGCATGCCCAAAATCCCAAGAGGAGAGTGAAGGAGAAGGGGTTGCTGCATGGCCATTCCCCCCAGGGGAAGATTTCTCACGTTCTGTCTCTCTGGTGAGTGCATGTGCCCTATAGCAAAAATCTCTCTTAAAAAAAAAAAGTTTTGGGCCATCAGGTGGCATGACGGTTAGAGCCACTGAACTCCCACACAGCTGCCTGCAGTTTGAGTCCTGGACCTGTCAGTTTGCTTTCTCACTTTCTCTCTCTCTCTTTCTCTCTCTGTCCCTCTCTGGTCAAAAAGAAGAAAAGAAAAGAAAAGAAAAGAAAAGAAAAGAAAAGAAAAGAAAAGAAAAGAAAAGAAAAGAAAAGAAAAGAAAAGAAAAGAAAAGAAAAGAAAAGAAAAGAAAAGAAAAGAAAAGAAAAGAAAAGAAAAGAAAAGAAAAGAAAAGAAAAGAAAAGAAAAAAATTTTTAAACAGTTTCTATAAGAAAGTCCCACTTAAGGGGCCAGCAAGTGGCATAGTGGTTGACATGTGGGACTCCCCCATGACCAACCATGGTTTGAATCCCAGGCCTGATGACTTGCTTTCTCCCTTTCTCTCCCCTTCTTTCTTTCTCTCTGTGGTAAGTGCATGTGCCCTGTAGCAAATTACAAAATAATAAATAAAATGAAATAATTATTTAAAAATAAAAATCCCACTCAAAAACACAACTGGTGATTCAAATCCAGAAGGGCATCTGCCTCACCCAAAAGGTGTCTCGCAGAAAGTTCCATAGTACGTTAGCACTTCCAACTAACCCCGTGAGGAAACCCTTAGCAAATAATCCCAAAAAGCTGAGGGTGGAGATTTCATTGGTCAAAGCCTGGACAGCTCCACCTGGGCATGCCTGCCATCCTTAGTGACCCTCTGTGCCCAGAGTTGAGGACATTGCAGGACACAGGATCACCAGGCTGCAGGCCTCCCCTGATGTCCTGCCTCCCGCATGTTAATGAGCTGATGTAGTCATTCCCAAAATGTGTTCTGTGTGACGTTCCACCCAGGAATATGCCAACACCTGCAGAGGTGTGGCCAAGCCCCGTACAGCCT